CCCACGGGGGGAGGTCTGAAATGGCTTGTCTTGGAGGGTCCAGACCCCCTCCCTTTTATTACGAAATCTGGAGTATTGCATGTTGCTTCTCCGAGTGCAGCCATCGCGCGGCCACAGGGGACGCGGAATGAGGGACGGAGGGGCCTCTGTGGCCACGGTGAGCCTCGGCTTTGGAGGAGCTCCCCGACCCAGATTTGAGGAGCGGCCCGACGACAGCACCTCCTGAGCCAGAAGTGGTCCTCCCATCCGTTTTGCAAAGCGTTTCCATATCGACTTCTCCAAACATGCATGACAAGCACAGGTTCCACCAGTTTGGAAAAGCATTGTTTCCTGGCGCGCGTAACGATCCGAAAAGCTAGTCGAGCTTGGACTACAGTCGACCTTTGGACTTCCCAAAGTGCCCCGAGGCCCCTGTGGGCACCCGAGATCATCGGGTGGCAAACAAATTCTGGGGGGGCCCTGCTGTCAGGCTTGTCTTTTCTTTGAGGTGTGCACTGCAGCAGAGGAGGAGGAGGAGGAGGAGGAGGAGGAGGAGGCGGAGAGGAGGAGGAGGAGGAGGAGGAGGAGGAGGAGGGAGGAGGAGGAGGAGGAGGAGAGAGGAGGAGGAGGAGGAGGAGGAGGAGGAGGAGGAGGAGGAGGAGGAGGAGGAGGAGAGGAGGAGGACTAGGGAGGAGGAGGAGGAGGACTAGGGAGGAGGAGGAGGAGGAGGAGGAGGAGGAGGAGGAGGAGGGAGGAGGAGGGGAGGAGGAGGAGGAGGAGGAGGAGGGGGAGGAGGAGGAGGAGGAGAGGAGGAGAGGAGGAGGAGGAGGAGAGGAGGAGGAGGAGGAGGAGGAGGAGGAGGAGGAGCAGGAGCAGGAGTAGGAGGAGGAGGAGGAGGAGGAGGATGAGGAGGAGGAGGAGGAGGAGGAGGAGGAGGAGGAGGAGGAGGAGGAGGAGGAGCTCGGAGGAGGAGGAGGAGGAGGAGGAGGAGAGGAGGAGGAGGAGGAGGAGGAGGAGGAGGAGGAGAGGAAGGAGAGAAGGAGGAGGAGGAGGAGGAGGAGGAGGAGGAGGAGGAGGAGGAGGAGGAGGAGGAGGATTTTTTTTTGCCGCTGCGCTACTCTGCCGCGAGTCATCGCGGTCCTCCTGGCGGCCAGCCAGGCAGCCGTCGAGCCCGACACTCGAGACGCTGCCAGCGCAGGATTGTTCCGTGCACGCTGGCCGACCCGCACAAGCAGGCCACGCGACAGGGCCATGCCCCCGTGGCGAGAACACCAGGAGGCTCGACCGTCGGGCGTCAATCGAATAACCGAACCACGCTGAGAGCATCCACGTCGAGCCATATTGAGTCGCTCTTCGGGTGCTTGCCAGAGAGGAGACGGTTCCAGTAGGTGGTCGACGAGCGGGGACAGTGCGGCTTACCGTTGCAAGCTTTGTTGAGATAGCGCACTTGCCCCCCCGTCGAGAAGGCCTTGCACTTCAGGCAGATACACAACGCGCTGCCGTCGGAGCAAGACAAGGCAACACATGTGTGGCCAAGTTCTATGAGCTTAGTGTCATAGAGCTTGTGGGTTTGACGGCAGATACTGTTGGGGGGCCAACAAGACCTGGTCACCCGCAAACATTGCTTGCACTGCCAGTAGCCGTCCCTATGCACCCAGGAGTGGCGAATCTTGGGAGCGGGCGCAACAGGCTCCCGCTGCTCGCGCGTGGCCTGCGACAGATCACACGCGGGCCAGAGCGGAAGCACCCTGGCAGCCAGCACACAAACTTTCTTGGAAATAGAGAGGGCTCGGTCGAGCCACTCGGACTGCCCAGGGCTCGGCTTCTCGTGAGCTAAAGCCCCAAGCTTGGCGTAATGATCGGCCAGGTCGTTCCCAGCCTTACAGAAGCGCAAATGGTCATCCCCCTGGGCCTGCTCTTCGGTCATGTGACCCTTGACCTTAAAAATCTGGCCCATTTTTGAAACAGCCGTCCACGCAAACACCCGTTTGAAAGACAACTGTTCAGAGCGGGGGAGGGACCACACCTGCACAACATTCTGACAATCACTATATCCACATGACGGGTCCAGGGCGTTCTGGCAGGCCGCCGTGCAAGCAGCGAACTCACCAGCCTGAGCCGTTTGCGGGATGGGGAGGGGGAGGGGAGCGTACACATGACCCAACTCCTGCCCAGAATCGGAGACCGAAACGTACGACCACCCCGTCCGCGACAACTCCCGAATGACAGACCTGATGCACGATCCGTCCATAAATATATGACCTTTCACAAGGTAATCATCACGCAAGGGGTCACTGGCATGATGTACAGTAGGTTCAGCAACGGTAGGGGCTGGAAAGACATCACCAGGATGAGACATACTCCCCATGGTATACAGAACCTGATCGTGCTTTGATAGGGATGACCAGGCCGGTGGATGGTACTGAAAGTCATCACCTAAAAGCTCGCGGCGCATCTCGGCGCAGGACTCGTGCTCGCACTTCCACAACCTGTGGAACATCGTGTCCTGCTCCTTGCCGCGCAGAGGGCAGGGCAGGTCGGGCAAAATGTAGCCGTGCTCTGACGCTCTAACCTTGGTCCACGGAGCCTGACAGACGAGCCCGCGGATACAACCTTTCTCCCAAGGCGTGAACTTAGACGAAGCCATAGCTCGGAGCGGCACGTCTAAGCAAGCACGCCGCTCGAGACCAAGGCTGTCACCGTAGGCACGCTCATGATATCTCAAAACGGCGAGACGCAGCAGACGTTTGAGGAGGGCAGGCGAGACGAGCGAAAGCTGAACCTCCACCCCCAAATCGTCCACCAGGGTCGAAAAAGAAGGCATCTTCCACCCAAGACGCTCCACCGACAGCCTAAGGGCCCCAACAGGGCCCCAAATCTGCCTCCAGGAGGGGGAAGGGCCCGCAAACACAACACTCCAAGCCCCCCTAAGCTCGGCCAAGCTGAGGCCGAACTCGAAGGAGGCCGTCAGGCTGGCCCAGATCTCTTTGGACCAACGCACAATCGGGGCCACATAACAATACCACGTGGGGTCGGCGGCGAACAGCAAAGCTGCAGTCAGAGAACGGCCTCCAGCCGTGGGGCTGAGAAACCGTCCAAGAGAGCGCCGCAGACTCGCCAACTCGTGGTCGGAGGTGCCGTGCACCTCACAGCCATAGGTTCTGCTGGCCAAGGGGCCACTAGTAAAGATACGCTTGGCGTGTCTCCCCAACGCATCACTGTGAATCCTGATCCGATGACTTTTGGTTTTGAAGGACTTCTTACGAACCTGAATCTTAGCTCCTCTCCTGGCCGTCCTCCGAGGTTTGCCAGCTGCGTCGTCTATGCCCAGGTTGACAGCAGATGCGCAAGGAGCTCCGCCAACAGCACCAAGGCCGCGACGAATCTCCTTAGCCACGAGAGAAGCTGAGGCGACCACAGCCGCCTTACTAACTGAAATTGAACAGCCTAGATCGGACTCGATGACCACCTGCAATCGGAAAGCGGCTTCGATCAAGTCCTGGACGACGGCCCTGGGAGCCCCCGTGCACGACAAGGTGTAATCATCGATGTAAACTCTCAGCGAGACCGATCTAGGGATGCTAAGGCCATCTAAGGCCGCTAGCGTGAAGACGCGAATGAAAGTGGTAGCGAATCCGCACCCAGCTATCAAGCCTCGCCAAGCAAACTGCGGGCCCTCCACGCGGCCGTTCATGGCCATGTAGCGGCACGAGCGATAGGCCTCGTAGCAGACCCTGGCAATCTGCATTG